AGGAGGCCGGAGGAGGTGGGCACGGCCGCACGCTGGTCGTCACGTGGTTCTAATTAACGTGCGAACCGGCGAAGTCAGCCGTGCTCGGCTTATAGCTTCCGGCTGCAATAATCTACGCCGCCGAGCATCTGGGATTCTGGCGCGCTAGTTAATCTGCGCTAGAGAATCTTATATATATATATATATATATATATATATATATATATATATATATATATATATATATATATATATATAGAGAGAGAGAGAGAGAGAGAGTTAAATGTATGGGTGGACCATCAACTTGCGCTCTAGTTTTACTTAGGTCCATCAACTCTGAAAGTGGGTTTTTGGGTCCATAATCTTTGTTAGTGGCGCATTCCTAGCCCATACCCCCTTTGTTTTAATTTTTTAACCCGACGTGGCACCTCCGGGTCCAGGTGGACGCCGCACACACGCATGCATGATGCATGCACGTCGGCATCTTGGTGAAAGACAACGGACTGGGCTGCCGCTGCGCCGGCTGCTGCTGCTGCTGGCCGTCGCCGTCCCCGACGCCGCCGCCCCTGCTGCGAGGAGGTGCCGTCGCCGCCGCTGTGGGCGTGGGCGAGCTGCTGCTGCGGCCACACAGGCGTCGCTCAACCTCAGCGGGAACGCGTTCGCGGGGGAGTTCCCGGCCGAGGCGGTGTTCCAGCTTCGGCGGTTGGAGTCGCTCGACGTTAGCCACAACTTCTTCAATGGCACGTTCCCCGATGGTGTCGCGGCGCTCGGTGGCGCGCTCGCCGTGCTCGATGTCTACAGCAACTGCTTCGTTGACCCGCTGCCGCGCAGCCTCGGTGAGCTGCGTCGGCTCTAGCGGCTCAACCTCGGCGGCAGCTTCTTCAACGAGAGCGTCCTGGCCGAGATCGGGCAGCTCCACTCGCTGCGGTTCCTGCACCTCGCCGGGAACGCGCTGACCAGGCGGCTCCTTTCGGAGCTCGACGCCCTCGCGTCGCTGGAGCAGCTGGAGATCGGATACAATGCCTACGACGACGGCGTTCCCGCGGAGCTCGGCAACCTGACGCGGCTCCAGTACCTCGACATCGCCATCACTAACCTGTCCGACCTGCTGCCGCCGGAGCTCGGCGAGCTCGTACAGCTCGAGAAGCTGTTCCTGTTCAAGAACCGGCTCGCCACCGCCACCCACACCACCAGGACGAACGCCGCGAAGGCACCCGCTGACGATCAGAGCCCCACGAGGAAGTAGACGCACACGGAGTAGAGCAGCGCCACAGCGAGAAGGTATGGCAGAACACCAAGATGGCGCGCCCCCACGCGGCGGCGCGGCCCGTCTGATCTGCCGCCGTCTCCGCCGAACGATGGGCGCTCCGTCACGAACGTCGGCAGCGTCTCGGTCGTGGAAGTCAGCAGAGAACGTGGCGTGAAGGCGAACAGGCCCAGTCACTTGTGCGTGCCGGCCTCGCCGTAGCCAGATGGATGTAGATCGTGCCCAGCAGCGTGCCCACAAGCACGGCCTCTAGGAAGTTGGTGAGAGGCAGCTGCTTGCTCCGGTACACCACCTTACACGCTGTCTTGTACAGTACCACCAACTCGTGCAGCCTCAACGACGGCGAACCAGTAGACGACGTCGTCGCCGTGGCCATCTTGTGGTGGTGGCTTGACGACAGCGAGTTGAACTCTTGCGTCGTTGGCTTGGGTTCAGGGGTAGAGGGGGTGGGATGAGGGAGCTGGTCGAGGACCTCAAGGGCGAACTCGAGTGGGTTGAGCTACGCGGGGACGATGAGGCCGTGGGAGAGACGAAGAGGAGGACAGCGTCGAGGGATGCGAGCGAACCATGGTGGAGGACGGTGCCACGGGAGAGGAGGAGCAGGCAGTCCACGACGGAGAGGAGGAGTGCGCTTGGCCGGTGGATGGAAAGCACCACCGTCATGCCTCGGGCGGCCGCGATGGCGCGGAGGCAGCTGACGACCACATGCGCCGAGGAGCGCAGAACGACGAGGCCGATGGAGAGTCGCCCGAAGCCGGAAGAGCCGCCGAGGGGCGCGGCGTGCACCCGCAGCTGTGGCAGGCGTGCGCGGGCTCCCTGTGCGCCGTGCCGCCCATCGGCGCCGCCGTCTACTACTTCTCGTAGGGCCACGCCGATCACGCAGGCGCCGCAGCCGTGGACTGCGCTTGCGCGGCGTCGCGCGTCTCGCCCGTTCGTGCCGTGCTTGCGTGGCGGTCGTCGGAGTTCACGGCGGAGCCCGACATCGACGACATCTACGCCAGATACGCCTCGTCCCGCTCCGCCCTCAGGAGCCGGTGGGGGCGTGGCGACGCGCCGATGAAGAGAGGCGGGAGCGGCGAGGGGGCGGGCGCGCGGGACGGCGACGGCGGCCAGCAGCAGCAGGCTTGGCAGCGGCAGCAGCCGATCCGCTATCTTTCACCAAGACGTCGACGTGCATGCATCATGCATGCACATGCATGCGTGTGTGCGGCGTCCACCTGGACCCGAAGGTGCCACGTCGGTTAAAAAATTGAAACAAAGGGGTATGGGCTAGGAATGCGCCACTAACAAAGATTATGGACCCAAAACCCACTTTTAGAGTTGATGGAACTAAGTGAAACTAGAGCGCAAGTTGATGGATTACCCATGCATTTAACTCATATTATATATATATATATATATATATATATATATATATATATATATATATATATATATATATATATATATATATATATATATATATATATATATATATATATATATATATAACTCGAAGAGATTTGCAGGTCAATCTCTGGCTTGTCATTGGGCCACGTCTCTTCCAATTCCCAGCCGTCGGATCGTTCTACGTACAGTGAAAAATCCTAGCGTGTGCCAGCCATAGGGAGTAGAGTCAATGGGCCTGAGAGCCCACCTCTATTTCCCGATGTGCTATTGTTCGGCCGACGCGGGCGATGGTTGCCGCTAGCGGGCCGTTCGACGCCGAGTAGCAGAGTGGGCTCGACTGCTGGAAGATGGGCAGGGCCGGTGGACACGACGGAGACTCTGCCGTCGCCGGCTCGCCGTTGGCCATGCCCGTTGCTCACATGGTGTTCTGTTCGATAAAATGCCATCGTGATAAGCGCCGTTTCTTTTTCAGTCCTTTTCATTCGTGGCATACGTACTCTTCTGTATGCCAATCTGCATTTTGTACCAAATGCCTTTTGTTAACTGTGGAGAGTGGAGACACAAGATATTCTCTAGGCATTGCTGCTGCTCCCTGCACCATCTATGCAAATCTACCCTCCCCCCCAAAAAAAAAACTACCTTCAGCGTACTACGTATTTACTAATGTATATAATTTATACATATGTCAAACATAAAGGATGGATGTCTTACATCTAAAATGAATAACTTCTGAGATGATTAATGAAGGCACAAGTGCTGGTGATTGCACATACAATATATTTACTTATCATTGTCCTGCAGTGCAATACACGCTTTATACATGTGAGAGTAGTAGAGCATGGAATATATATTTTTCCCATAGATTAAGATAAGCCATACGATAAAATTACTGGTACAACTCTATAATATACCTGTTGAAGTTTGTATATTAAGATGTATAAAGGTTTAAGTGACCAGCAAAATCTCAGTTTTATCATCTCTCTCTCAATCAATCTGCATTCAAATAAACACCAAGAGAACCTATAGACTGTAGTTGCAATATGGACACGTACACACCTATCTTCTTTGCATTTCTAATGAATGTTTGCAATTACAATCATATTAATCACAAACATGGGTCATAGAAATAACCTTCGTGCTTCATTGTACACCGGCCACACTCGCCATAGGGAGGCCGACCACAACCAGGGGGTCGGCTCAGGGCCGTCTCTTGGAGGACGGCAGGAGGTGTGACCACTGGGGGCCATGAGAGAGAGAGAGTGTATATATATATATATATAAAGTATTGAAGGTTTATATATTTAGCACGATAATCCATGAGAGTTTTGTAGGTCAGCGTCTTTTCCTATTTGATACTGTTCTTAAACATTTTTCATCGAGAAATACACGAAGGTGGTATTTTACAAAGCACTGAAGCATTATTGTTTTATTTGAGAGAATCGTAATAGTTATTTAATTGTTCTTTTAGTTCTTAGTTGTACTATCGTTGTATCTTTTATGAACAAACATGCGCTGCAAATTAACCTTTTGTACTATATACTTTAATTGTCATATTAAAAGTTTAGTTTAATGGGCCCTTACGATCCCGCTTGCCCAAGAGCCTCTAAAACTATAGAGACAGCCCTGGTAGGCTGCGTCCGCAGTGGAGCTCCTTCGTGTGGGCCTCTGCTCCGCCGTGGCCGGGCTTGGCGGGCGCCACGCGGTGGCCTCATTGCCTCCGAAGAGGCACCTAAGCGAGCTCTGCCGGCCCTCGTAGTTGCCTGAGGCATGCGGAAGCAAAGACGCTGGTGCCCTTCTGGCCTTCTCTCCTCGCAGAGGCGACCCCGGCACGGCGCGTCACCATTGGAGCGAAGCATGCGGGCGGTGGTTCAGGCAACTGAGTTGCGCGAGCAAGCGGCACTGGGGCAGCGTAGGAGAGCGGCGGGCGGCGGCGTGGGAGAGGTTGTGTGCGGCGTGGGAGACAGCGAGTAGTAGCGCCAGCGCCGATGCGAGCGCGCCATGGGCGGCGGCGGCCTGTGCGAGCGCACAACAGGGCGACGCGGTGGCACAGAAGGGTTACGCGGTGGCTTTGTTTTTTTCTAAGAGAGAAACGCGGTGGTTTTTTTTTTGTGAGAATCACGCGGTGGCTTTGTTGAAAGGAGAGGGAGCGCTGCATGCCGTATGGAATCTTAAAATATAGCAGTGAAATTGTTTCTATGTAGCCCATATAGAAATAGTACGGCACTTAACACCATATATTGTCTTCAACCAGCATAGTTTTACATCCACCTTTTGATATTAAATTATAGATAACTCCATCACTAAAACTACAGAAGAGAACTGGTTGTTGTCAACTGATCTCTTGTCTAGGTAAATACTTTGTTGCTCACCATGATTGCCCCTTGGTGATGTTGTTCAAGGCAACTTGTTGTCCATCAAAGTCATAATAGTTTGTGTTGTAAGCAGTGCCGGCGAAAGAAAGCACCTCCCAGCTAGGTGAAGTATTCTGCACCGTCATTGGAGCTACATAAGGACTAGTTGTTGTCTGTTGACCTCTAGTCCAAGTGGCTACTTGGTTATTGCTCGCCTGGTTAGCACAAGCGAGGTTGTTCATGGCATCATATTGTCCATCAAACTCATAATAGTTTATGTTGTTAGCACTGCTAGTGAAGGCGAGCGCTTCCCATCCAAGAGAGTTAGTCTGCACCGTAGTTGGATCTATGGATGAACTGCCTATTATGTGCTGACCTCTAGTCCAGGTGGCAACTTGTCTACTGCTCTCCTGGCTAGCATGTGCGAGTTTGTTCAAGACAGTGTGTTGTCCCTCAAAGTCATAATAATTTGTGTTGTAAGCACTGCGACCGAAGGCGAGAGCCTCCAAACTAGAAGAGTTCTTTTGCACCCGTGGCTCTGTGTCATAGAGGCCGACATCATTGATGGTGAAGCGTTGTTTCCTAGTGGTGCACTCCTTCCTATGGAAATACTTCTGTGCATGGCTGCAGATCTGGATTGGCGTCCTTGTAGGGACAAAGTACCTAGATATGTTCTTCCAGCTACCACGGCCAAACACTTCTAGGCCACGGAGGAAATTCCTGCATATATATATGGTTTAGAATTAACAAGTTAGATGATAACATATGTCTTGTTCATATGCTCAATATTGGTGAAAACAAAATCTCAATGCCTCATGATATGAAATACTATACTTTATCCCTGAATAAATAGATTCCTGAAGTTGTCTTAAGTCAAACTTTTTAAACTTTGACTGAATGTCTATAATAAATTAAGATTTATGGTATCAAATTAGTATCATTAGATTTAGCATAAAATATATTTTCACAAGGTGCTCATTTTATGCCATAGATGTTGTTACTTTTTGCTATAAAGTTAGTTAAACTTAAATTTTTTTTACTGACACAGATTTCAGGAATTGATTTATTTGGCAACGGAAGGAGTACACCACTAGCTTATTACTTGTACAAAAAATTAACACTAAATAAGTAACAAACATTTCAAAAAACAGAGCAGAAATGAATTACTTGTGCTCATCTTGAGTCCAAGCTATCACTGGGTTTTGCCTCCTTTTCTTTGGAACAATATTCAGCTTGTGCGGTGGTTCCTCTACCATCTTCATGGCCTCCACATCATCTAGTATATAACCATGAAACATGTTGTCCATGTTTGTATCCTCCGTTGGCATCCCAAAGTTATCATTCACAAGAGCATTGCTCACCACAACTTGTTGATTGTTGCTCTGCATTGTATTCATCTCATCTACTAGATGAACATATAATTGAATTACCTGATGCTTCTCTTTGCCTGGGAACCTTTCTTGGAGCTCATCAACAATGTCACTTTGCTTCTTGTTTGTGTCATTTGTGTAGGTGTTGTTGGTGTTGTGACTAGCGATGAATGACTTCACCATATCTATTTCGGAGGCGCTCCACACACCATTGAAGTTGGGATCCATGGGTAGTGAGGGTTGAGTACTACACAACAAGTTAATTGATGGAACACGATGCAGGGATGGAGAAAATGGCAAGCACAAGGCCAAGTATTTATAGGCCTTATGGTGAATCTTTTAGTATTGGTTTCAATTTATTGTACAATAAAGTTTTATATATAGTCAAACAAGATTTTTTTAAATCATAATCCTAAAGATATTTAGCATCTGAATTCATTTCTCAATGATACACTAATTTTGTAGTTGACGTACTTCAATTGCTCAGATGAATGACCAAGGACACATGACACGTAAAACTAATTCATAATAACATAATGACTAGTTTCACTAAAGAAATCTAATTTGACAATAAAAGGTCTTTCGACGCAAATCAATATTGGTTGTGCAATTTAGGCTCGTTGGTTAGCTGCTTATTTTTTGAAAACCTAACTTGATCTCGAGGCCATGCTTCAAAGTGTAACTCTTGTTCATAAGTAAACAATGTTTGCGCATCACACATTTTCACTAAAGTTTGATAAAATGAATGCAACACCTAGGATGTGCATAGGCCATACCACTATTCTCGAGCACACAGGTTGGAAGGACAATAATGTCTCAATTTGCTACTATCAGTTGACTCCATCTTTAGTGGTTACAAAGCGTTGTGTCTGCAATTTTTAATCACATTACTTTATGTATAACCAAATGCCTAATGTGTTTCTAATAAATAAATGAATGTGAATTGATCAAATCTATGCATATCTTTCCTTGTGATTGACATTTATTAGTTTTTATTTCTATCTAATGTCCAAATATACTAGAAGCTTGAGACTGGAAGTCAACTTTTGACTTTAGGTACAAGCCTCTTTCTCTCTCCCTCTCCCTCTATCTCCATGTATATATCTATATCTCTATATCTATATCTACCAGACAATGTTTAAGCATCACACATTTTTCTCTCGCATTTAATAAAATGAATGCAACACCTAGGATGTGCATTGGCCATACCACTATTCTCGAACACACAGGTTGGACAGACACTAATGTCTCAATTTGCTACTATCAGTTGACTCCATCTTTAGTGGTTATAAAGCATTGTGTCAACAATAATTTTTACTCACATTACTTTACTAACCAAATGCCTTATTAATGTGTTTCTAATAAATAAATGAATGTGAATTGATCAAATCATATATGCATATCTTTCCTTGTGATTGTCATTTATTAGTTTTGTTTCTATTTGATGTCCCAATATACTAGAAGCTTGTGACTGGAAGTCAACTTTTGACTTTAGCTACAAGCATCTTTCTCTCTCCCTCTCCCTCTATCTCCATCTCTATATCTATATCTATAGCTATATCTATATATCTATATCTATATCAACATGGATTGAGTTTTTTTCTCATTTCTATGCCATTCTATCCTTCTATGTGATTACAAAGTGTACAAAGTGCAATTAACCCCTTGATATTTTACATGTATGCATACAAGTCTATCTGGTGCATTGTACCACATAAATAATGTTAATGTGAAAACTGAATTAGAATCATGATAGACACCCACATTGTTCCACATAAAAAACTATTCAAATGGCTATAGGTTGGTACATTTGAGGAAGAAACTAAATTAATCTATAGTGTGTTCAATATTTGCATATTATTGCTTATATTTTGCCTAGCGAATAAAATGCTTTTGAGTTCAATAATTACATTCATTTGTGCTTGGAGTATATTCTTCATACAATTATTTTAACGATAGTGCGATACTTAAATGTGTTGTTGATGGTCACGAAAACTCCTTTTTTCATACCATCAAGTATGCTCAAATGGCAATATAAATGACATCCACCATAATCATAGGGATTAATTCTAATCAATTCCACAAGATTTGGTGACTATGTGAATGTAGAAACAAGGGTGACATGGGACATGGTAAAACACATGTTCTAATTCCCAATTTGACAACATTACGCTATTTAGCGACCTGAACCAGTATAAATTGTTGTCTCGCGTTCACCATTGAGTTTAGCTTACGCCGAAGCCCACCAATCCTCGATCCGATTAACCCCACAAAAAGGTTGTCGTTCATTAGACACTGACAACTGACGCGCTAGGCAGGGGCTTTCGACAAAAACATGATCGAAAGCTTGATCGACCTTAAGATCAACAACATGTTCTCGGGGGGATCGACGTTCACCTTCGGTTCTAGGACCTTCATGGTAGCTTACCCTGACATGCTCCAAGGTCGCCCCATGGAGACTTCACAAATTAAGCTCCTCCGACTCCTTTGACACGACGCGCCTGAGGATCTCACCAAAAAATTCGCTGAACTTTTTTATTTCTAGTCCTACTCAGACGCGGAAACACCTCAAGCAGTTCGAGTCCTACTCAGACACGACTAGGTTTTTTGAGCTGGCTTCTAAGCCATGGTTCAATCGTGGTCCATGTCTAGCATGAGTCCCTCTTGGGCTTAGGAATACTATGTCCGTCTACTAGATGGTGGTCTCAAGACTTATGCTATCCACTCCGATCACGGAGGAGGAACAAGAATAGATCCAACTGACGAGCACCCAACTTGGCCTAGTTCTCACTGCCACATTAGAAGGGAAGATTATGCAATGGCTAGGTGCCCGGCTACTCGGGAACTCTGCCGATGCCCGAGCCACCCTGGGCTGGCGTCGCCCCATAGCCCCACACTGCTGCTGCCCAAGTCCACAATTGCATTTGTAACAAAGAGCAAGAGGGAGAAGGACTTCATTACTAGTCCTCTAGATGGCCGCCATCGAGCTACTGCTTCCTTCCATTGATGGCTTGCACCAGCAGTGGACCTCCTCATCGGGATGCCATAGGCAGCGTGCGACGGTGTGGTGGGCACCTTGGTGGCCAGGGGAGGTGCTTGGGCGGCAACGTGTATCGTGATGCTTGGGTGAGGACTGGTGCCACACCGGTGCGGGAGAGGGCGAAGTGTGGGGGCGATGCCACCAGCGAGCGTAGGGGGGGGGGTTGAGGCGTGGAAGGCAAGGCTACCTACACTGGAGATGAGGCTACTCTTGGTTGTGTTGGGAGGGAGGAGGGAATGACTAGAGGAGAAAGAAGACCATGGGCCAATCCATTTTAAAGTGTGTTCCATTCCTCCAGTCGAACCTACGGACGGAAGAAAACAAGAGGCAGGGCCACAAGTGGAAACTAGGGTTAGCTTTTCTCCCAGGAATTAAATGACTTCCAAACTCCCCAAAATCCATTCCAGTGGCTTACATCCATTTCATATTGGCAAGTAGCAAATCCAGTTTGAGGGATGGCACTCTAGCGAATCTAGTTTCCAAATAATGGCGGAATTGCAAAAATCTCATATTTACATGATGCAAAAATGTCCTATATGTTATCCGTTTGTCTAATTTCTAGGTTAGCCCAACAAACAATGTAACCCCATCGTCCGAGGCCCAATAGGCAGCCCAACTAGCCTAGCGCTGTCACCCATCCTAACCTATTAGCATTGCCCCCTTACACTAGGCGTCGCACTCTATCGCTCGCTCCACACATGCTATAACCCCTATCATCGCTGTTGCTCATTGCTTAAGGCCCCTAGCTCCGCTTGAGGTCGACTTTGAGTTGGGAAAGAACCACAATTGTCCTAGAAATCCTAAATCTTGTCTTCTCCCTCGCTCGTGTTTTGGATTCTAGATCTCAAAAAGCTCATCCCTGACCTGGCTCCAAAATTTCCATGGATGACAATGAGCCACTTGGTGCGGTCTCACCCCTCCACGTGGCCCTCTCCCCTTTGAGAGGCTGACATGGGGACCTCACTTGGATTCGAACTCTCTCTGACATTGGGGAGTCCTGTGATCTCTCATGGGGGACTTGGGCATCCATCTCACCGATGGTGCGCCTCTTCCCCCCGAGGTCACCGAGGATGACAATGTCACCCCCACCGACATCCTATCCCCTCTTTTCAATCATGTCCTCTAATCTTTCCACTCAAAACAATCGATTCAAATCTTGTGTACAAATCTAAAAGCAACTCTAGAAACACATGGTAAAGAAGAAAGAGGTTAAAAGACAACCTTCTATTGACAAAAGGGTGATTAGCAACCCTGAAATAGTGGCTACAAAAGCATAACATTAGTAATTACAAGCTTCTATCAATAATAGATAAAAGTGTATTAAACATCAAATACGAAAATATCTATAGTATTCCCAAAGCCAATATTATTAAGGTGAGGCACCAAACCATGCACCAAGGGTGTGATTGGTTTCGAGGACGAGGAGAGCCTGGCTCGCTCCTACAACCCAAACCAAGCTGGGCAAACTTACTACATGTAGTACCTTAATGTGTGGTTGATAGAATGAATACATGCAGGATGAACATAACAATTGTTTTTGGTTGTCGGCTCGTTTAGTCTACTACTAGAGTTGAAAATGGATGTGTTAAATCATGTCCCGACCTGAACCGCTTTCTATATTTCACCTATTTGTTTCCATGTCAAAAAAAATCCAAAAATGAGACGGGATACAGGTAGCCAGGACCAGAACAGAAACGGAATGGGCTCTATCCCACCCGTATTTACATCATACGGAAATGTCCTATATGTTTCCGTTTTTCTTATTTCCAGGTTAGCCCAACAAACAATGTACCCCATCGTCCAAGGTCCAATACACTACTAGAAATATCCACTTCTATGACAAATAGATTTTGTCACTGAAGGAGCCAAATTCGTCAAAATTTTAGTTTTATGACGAATTTATGATGAAAAACGATTTGTCATAGAAGTCACATCACACTTGCACATCTATGAAGAATCTGACAAAATCATCATAGAAGTGTCTTGATCTGTGATGAAAAATAGATCGTCATAGAATTGTTTTGGCATGCGTGGCAGGGGGCTGTCACGCTAGTGGGAGCTTCCATTGGAGATGCTTTCCATGTGTACATGCTATAATGGTTTAGGTACGTGTGACCTTTTTATTGCACAATGTGGCAATCTCTAGTTCTTGCACGTATCATGTTCTTAATGGACCAAGTGTCAGGTC